CAACGTTATGCAAATTTTTTTGGATTAACATTTCAAATACCTGTAAACATAAACCTATTTCAAGCAAAATAAAAAAAAAATAAATAAAAATAAAATAAAATAAAATAAAATAAATAATTTAATTTGCATTACTTACTTAAGTATCAATTCAAATACTGATGGTGAAATATTAGGTTTAGAAAAAACGATATAGCCATCTTTTTTTGTAACCCAATTGGTTGATAATGCACTTTTAAAATAAGGACATCGTGCGCATAAAATGTTTGAATGTGCTTTAAATTCTTTAGAATTTTGATTTTCTCCAACTTGAATTTTTACATCATAATTCTCTGAATGTTCAAGTAACTGTGTTAAATCTCGAATTAGACTTGTTATAAATGGCGATGTCATTTTAATTATTTTTTATTAATAACAAAATTAATAAAATTGAAAAGATTAGAAATGTGAGAGGAGGATCAATTAGTTTATTTATATAATTTAGTTTATATTATGTGAAACCACATGATCGACTACTTATATAGCATAATTTATACGTACTGTACATACGTATACGTATTATGGTTCAATATATCGATTTGTAATTTTCATTAGGTGATCCTGCAAAGGGTTCTAATTTTCCATGCTTTAAGTGATTACAAACAAAAAAATAACTTTCTTCTCTATTACATAGCTTTACATATTTATACTAATACGTAACAGGGTTTTCATGCTATTAAAATCAAATATTATTAAATCATCGAAATCTTTGATACAATGTATGTAACCAAATAATATTAATTAAATACATACATATAAAATTCGAACAATGTATGAATAAATAAATAAATAAAAATAATATTGTTCACGTTTTTATACATTCACATTTTGTGTTTCAATCAATATCAGAAATTTGATAGCTCTAAAATTAGTAATTAATATAAACTGCTCAAAATTCACAAAAATTTTATATTACTAGATAAATTCTTATAATGCGAAATGTTTCAAATTTTGAAAAATGGTTTAGTTTATATTCTATTTTTTTTTCTTTAATACTCTGCCAAAATTATTTTAGTTACCATTTCAAATTTGTGCATCTAAACTAGTACTTACTGGTTTAGATTTTATTTATTGAATTTTTTTTTTTGATTGAAATAGGTTTATGTATACAGGTATTTGAAATTTTAATCCAAAAAAATTTGCATAACCTTGAAAGTTTTATAACTCATTTAATTAATACAAGGTGTTGTCTCATTGGAGAAACAATCTGGAAGAGATATATTAAATTTAATGGTTGCAGCCGACGAATTACTTCTCGAAGAATTAGTTACTTACGTACAAGATTATTTAGTAACAGATCAATGTTCATGGGTACAACAAAATTTTGTTCAAGTTTTACATACAGTTTTTCGATTAAGTAATTGTAAAAAATTGCAAGATTTTTGTTTGGAATCTATATGTGAAGATCCACAACCATTCTTTATTTCAAACGATTTTAACGAATTAGATAAAGAGATACTTTTCGGCTTGGTAAAACGAGAAGATCTAAGGATAGATGAAACAGAAATGTGGGATTATTTGATTCAATGGGGAATCGCAAGAACTCCAGGGCTAGGGCCAAATAACAATAACATTTCAAATTGGAATCCGGTATGTTTTGCGGCGTTGAAGGAAACATTGGAACAGTTCATGCCTTATATTCGATTTACGGCAATCTCACGTCCTGATTTCTATGATAAAGTTCGACCGTACAAACAGATTCTCGGTCATGAATTATACGAAGAGTTGATGCAATTCCATTTTAAAGATATAAAACCAACAAGTGCCGATTTACCGGCAAGAATAGCATACTCCAGAATTGATTCCGTTATTCTAAAACCAAAGCATGCTGCTGTTATTTCAAATTGGATCGAACGAAAAGAATCACCATTTGTCTTTTCTAAAAAGAACGCCTACCAATTTGACCTCATCTATCGCGGTACACGTGATGGTTTTAGTAATGTCGCCATCATAAATAGATGTCAAAATTATGGTGCGTACGTTGTCGTCATAAAAATTAGGGGGTGTAATAAGGTTGTTGGTGGTTATAATTCTTTAGGTTATCGAAGAAGCATGAACAATACACAAGGTTTTCAATCTGGATTTTTAACTCAGATGGAATGGAAGTATAGCCTTGATAGTTTTTTGTTTTATTCTGATGATATGAAAAATATAAAGACAATGCATTTGAGCAGAGTTAGTACTCCTAATCAGGCGCATTACGCTTCGACTCACCATGCGGTAAATTTTGGTAATAGTGATCTAATTTGTAATGGGTTGTCTGGTTCTTGTTATAAGAATTATTACCAGTATAGACTTTTAGAATCGGAGTTTACTACCGAAGAAATTGAGATATTTGCCGTAAATTCTCAATAAGCCTTTCAAACAACCATTTTTTTTTTATTATATTATTAATAAAGTATTTTAATATGTATAATTAATGTGTTTTATTAAATAATAAAAGATCAGAAACATTGTAATAACAATCATGAATTTCGGTCTTTGTTCTTTCATGTATAATTAGTGTTTCATTGAATCATGAAAGATCATGTACATTGCATCAATAACTGTTTATTTATTACGTAATTAAAAACAGGTGATGATTATGATATTAACTATATTTAAATCCAGACTTTGGACTTAATCATTACCTGTTTTAAAGCGGTGAAAAAATGTTTAAAACTGTTTTTTTTTTTTTTTTTTTTTTACCATCCCTACTGTTTATTATTAATTAAGAACCCGTTTTTTGTGTAAACACAAACTCCTTGTAATCTTTGACCTAAAACAGACATATGATACAGGGATATCGTTCTAAACTATAACATATCGGGCTTTTATGTGTATACTCCCGATTACCGAGATATTTCAAACTTGTCGCAATTAAAATATACAATAATAATATGCTGCAACCCATTTTTTTTTTTAAAAAAAAAAACGCCAGATTCTTATGAACTTTGATATATGTATTAACTAGGGTTATTATCCGACATGTCCTATGTGCGCACTGGACGTTTTTTGTATATATTATTCGCTCACTTTCTAATCATGTGATAAATCAGTTTTTTGATCACTTTTCTGATTTTATTTCTTCTTGCGTAGGTCGCATAAAACTCATAAAATGAAAGTTAAGAAAAAAAATTGAGCGAATGAAAAAAAGAAAACAAGGGTAAAAAGAATGAAATGGTGAGCGAAAGTGAAAAGTAAGCGAAAATAAAAAAAAAGTAAAAGTGAGTTAAATGATTAGAAAAATCGAATAATATATACGAAAAACGACGGATAAAAATGTTATCAGTTAAGTTGTAATGAAAACTGATTATTCGTAGGGAACAATATGAATCACGTGGCTAAGCCACGTGATTTATATAGTAACCTGACGATAAATCAGCTATCATCCACAACCTAACCAATAACAAGTACTTATCATTTGATGACAAATTTGACGTAAATAGTCAACAAAACTATACTGCACACGTATCTAAATTTCTGCTTCCCTGCGCCCAACCCAAAAAGTTTACAAAAATATGATAAATCTTTTTATTGATAAATGAAAATTTTAGAAGCCTAAGAGATATTCGTATTCAGAATGTTTTAGCTTCAATCTTCCAATTCGAATATTCTAAATTCTACAGTCACTATAGTAAATAACAAAAAAAAACATGTTTAAACCTATTTTGAATGTACTAACGCTAATAGAAAATTTTAGGGAGAAAATCTCAATTTTAATCCGAATTTCAATAAGCGTTAAGTCTGTGACAGTGTACGCTTTTAGCGTTTCCCCTTTTTATACTCTCACATTTGAATTATTCTATCTTGAACTCTAATATTCGAATTACGCAAAATAATATGTGTGAGCGGCCTAGTCACTCAAATATTTTAAAAATTTTTTAAAAAGAAATTTAACAAGATTTTAACAAGATTTATTATTTTAAAATATTATATATCGATATATATTTAAAATTATTTATTAAAAAAATTTAATTAGTACATATATATTTATTAATAATTTTCAAGGTTTATTAGAGTAGCCTACGTATATTAATTACTATATATACATTTTATATTTACTAATTTTAAATCTTATAAATTTTTTTATTAATAATAAAATTTTTAATAATATATACTATTAATTTTAATTTATAATAATTTTTAGTAATCTTTTGCTAACTATTTTAATAAAAATTGAAAAAAAATTTAAACGGTGCACCGTTTTTTTGCTCCTGATAATCCAATTAGTGTAATAATATAGTATAAACAACATAAAAATAAGTTAATTTAGCTAATATTAGAGGTTGAAATAAGATTTAGGTATAGTTTATAATAAAATTTGCAAAACCTTTTTTGTTAAAACTAAAATGTGACTTTATAAGAAATTGTTAAGATATGATTAATTTTTAAATTTTTTTGTTTTAAATTGATTTATATATTATATTTAACAAATTTTTAACTAAACAAAATTATACAAAATATATATAGTATATTTTAATAAAATTTTAAAAAATTTTAGTATTTTAATTAACAAAATATTTATTTTTAGTAATGGGTATTTATTTTTGGTGTGTCTTACACTCGGTTCACCTTTTGATATCTCAAAATTTTACTAGAGTAACTTCTGTTATGTAATTAATAAAAATATTCTCTGCAAATTTTGATCCTAATTCTAATTTAATTCTAATATTAATTAAAACTCTTATTGATATTGATTTGTTATAGAGTACATTATATATACTTCTGTACCAAATATATATATTTTTTAGATTTTTTTACAATATCTAATAATATAATATAAAAAAATTACTTTGTTTTACTACTAGTAATTATTACTAGTGATTTATAATAATTAAATTAAATTTTCATCAAAACAAAATTAATTTTTTTAATATTTAGAATAAGGTTTAAGTTTGAATTAGAATAAAATAAAAATTTTTTTTTTTTTTTTTTTTTTTTTTTTTTTTTAGTTATTAAGGCCAATGTTACAGAGCT